GTTAGTCTTAAAGGTGCCACAGGACCCTCTGTTGCTTTTTTCAAAAAAGGAAGCTTCTGTTTGTTTTAACTAAACAAATAATACTTTTCCACAATTCTGTGGCAGTTGAATCTGCCAGACAATTGTGCTGGGGAATCTAAGCTTTCATTTTAAGAAGCTAAGTTGTCCTGTAAGTTTCACTTTAAGAAACTAACCTGACAAATACAAATGTATGCTTTGTTGACCTCCTGAGTCTGCAAGCTGAAACAGTAGCTCTGACATGTGGGGATGTGTCTCCGTTCTCCTTGAAGGGGTTTTACCTCGGAAACATGATGATAATTTAAATCTTAACATTAACGGTTACAGTGCTGATAATTTTAGTGGAAATATTTAGTTGTTGTGCGTATCCATCCATACTGGATTCAGTGGAAGATATTGGGGCAGTGGTGTGGCTGTCACTGTCAAGGGGTTGGGAGTTCAAGCCCCAGCTCCTTGAGGGACAAACTGTTACCTCAGTCTCTAGGAAGAGGGAAAGAAGAGGTGCATCCCCTCCTTGGTGCCCAAAGCCTCAAACAGCTCCTGGAAGCTCAAACTCAAGTCCTCTCCCTTTCCTTCTGTGGTGACAAAGGCCCCAAATGCTGCCCAAAGCTTCCAGCTTTCCCCCTTGACAACTTCTTATATTGTCAGTACAAAAATCTGCAGCACATCAAAACTTTAGGTGAAGCATACAATATACAGTATTTAATATTAAAATATAATATCACAAGGGACACTGTACTTCTAGTAAGATAAAAAAAAACCTCAGGTTTTGAACACACACTGTAAATTTTGCAGCATTATCAAGTATCACTTAATTCAGCATTGGTGTGCCATTCAAAGTAAAAGCCTTGCTGCAAAACTTGGGACCAGATCATGACAGAATCCCTGGGACTTTGCTAATGCTTCACATTTACATGGTGCTTTTCATCCAAGACAATCCATGTCCTTTAAAAACATAAGTCATTAAATCTCACAACTGTCCTGTAAATCAAGCATAGGAAAACAGGCTGAGTTGCTAGTAAAGCCAGGAACAGGAAAACTAGGAATCGCAACTCTCAAGTGCACTGGTACGACCATTAGACAACTTGCCCACCCTCTAGGTTTGGATTCTTGACTATAGCAGTCCAAACATTCAAAGTGATCTGTACCTAAACATTTCTAAAAACATTTCATATTTATTTACATAAGAAAATCCTGATTGTATAGTTGTGTATATGCAGGATGTACTGTGTGTGTAGTGTGAACTCTGATTGAGACAGACCAGGTGTTCTTTTGAAAAATCAAAAGGTTTTCCAAGAAAACAGACTTGCAACAATAAATGATGCACTGTTAGTGATCATACATCCTCCCCTAGGAAAACCTCAACATCTGCCTAGAATGAACACCCAATAAGATACTCATTAGGCTAAGCCTCATTTGTTCATCTTAACTAGTTTGTAGTAAATATATTTAAATGTACCAGTGCAGTGGCTCTCAACCTTTCCAGACTACTGTACCCCTTTCAGGAGTCTGATTTGTCTTGTGTATCCCCAAGTTTCATCTGACTTACTTGCTTACAAAATCAGACATAAAAATACAAAACTGTCACAGCACACTATTACTGAAAAAAGTGTACTTATTTTTACAATAATTTAAAATAAATCAATTAGAATATAAACTGAAGCTTTCAGTGTATAGTATATAGAGCAGTATAAACAAGTCATTGTATGAAATTTTAGTTTGTTGTGACTTTGCTGGTGTTTTTTATGTAGCCTGTTTAAACTAGGCAAATACCTAGATTAGTTGATTTTTCCCCCCCGGAAGACCTCTGTGTACCCCCAGGGGTGCCCCTACCCCTGGTTGAGAACCACTGCACTAGTGTACACATGTGTGACACAGTCTTTATATAAGTGCCTGTTAACTTATCTATAGAGGGTTGGATGTGGGAGGCTGATTTGGTTAGTGTATTGTATTTGTCTTCAGAGATCTGTCACCAAGCCCAGCCTAAAATATAGGTCAATATGCAGGGACTAAGTGGAGACTCAAAATGCACCAAGTGTAGAACCTTCAGCAAAGTTCTTAGCGCTATAGATATTTCAGAACTTCCATCCTCCAGTTGTTCAGTATAGTTGATATAATGACCTAAGAAACTGGCCTAATATAGAGCCTGACATTTCTTGCAGTGAATAAAAAGGTAAAGACTGTGCAATTTGGAATTGAAGTCTCTGTTGAAGAGATGTGAAGGAAACACTTGGTGATCCCATCTCTGGCTAAAATAGAAGGGTTAGGATGCATAAATCTGTTCCCTAATCCAGTGTTAAAATTGTAATGAGAACTAATCAGAAATCAAGGGATAAAAATGGTAGTGTTATCCGTATGTGAGATGTGAAAGGAGACTGTCATGTTCTGTGCATACCACAAAGTGACACGTCTATTTAGGATGATATGCTGTTTCTCACCAAGATTTTTTTCCTAAGCGTTTGGTATATTTTTCTGTCATGTCATGCCTAGGTGATTTCATATTCAGGTCCATTCAGAACATTGTGGCATGCCTTCTTGCCTGTATGTGTGCCATCGCATCATCTCTAATTCTGAAAGGTCTCCACTTGTTCCCCTTCCACTACAGTTTTTGTTCTCCTCATGTTCAAGGGCTCCTTCACTTTTCAATCTTTGCTCTGTCAGTTTGATCATCCCTCCTGTGTCAGGTGCTGAATTTTATACTCTCTCTCTCTCTCTAAAATAGCCTTTTTGCCTTATTGATTTCCCATCTATCTTTGTAAAAAGCACAGCTTAAAACCCACCTCATCTAGGTTGTCTACAAACAGTGAGCTGTCAACCAGGTCATTGCACATGTGCTTATCACACCTGTCCCAATCTGAATGTTCCTATCTACTGTCACCTTTCTGTAACAAATCCACTGCTGTAAGTGCTGTAGGTTGCATAGATGATGCGCTATGAAGTTGTAGAAAAGGATTCTAGAAAAAAGGACAGGGAGGGACTTTGAGTAAATAGCCTGGGAGAGAGACACTAGAAAGGAACCATGCTAGCGACAACACCATTTACACAGTAGATGGTGAGAGGTTTGATGGGTTTGTTAATAAAAAACACCAGTGAGGGATCTTTGTTGATGGGTCATTGGTTTTAGGCAGGCTAAGAGCTGAGTTTTGAGCAACATTTTAGAAGAATGGGGAATTGGGGAGGCAGAAATAATTATGGAGCTAGTGCAGTTGCAGATGCAAAGAATCAACCTCTACTTGGCCAACGTTGACTTCCTCTCCTATGTCAGAGGGATAGGTTGAGACTATACCAGGAAATAAGATCACAGAGATAAATGGGAACTTGACCAAAGAAGGACCTTAAAAATGAATGCACAGATTTTGCATTTTATTCCCTATGGTTATGTGTAGTGTGAGCCTAATCATGGTGTGGCAGAACCTCTTCTATAAATGGAGAGACATACTGAAATAAAATGAATAGAAGGATTCTTGATCATTCTTAACATGTTAGATACATCCCAGGTTTGTAATAATTTTGTATAGAACCCCTGGAACATGCACAGTGCTCGCTGTGCTTACAATGTAAATACAGCTGGGCGGGCATCTATGACCTGAAATCTGATCTCATTGAAATGAGTAGCAAAACTCACATTGACCCAGTGGGAAGAGAACCAGGCCTTTAAAGACTTGAGGTCATCTTGAAATCTAGTCATTTAAAAAAAAAAAAAATTAACTTCACTGTGTGTGCGCCAAATTTTGTGGGTTTACAATTTAATTTTCCTATTTTAAGAAGTATATTTTGCTCCTCTGTTGCTGTGTGAAAGACTCACACAAACGGGGTAACTGACTATACATGAGAAACAGTTCAGTTTACTATACACACAGTACTGCCAAATGCACAAAGTAAACTGGAAAAAAGATATTTAATTCCTCTAATCTTATAATGTCAGATGCTACTTGAAAGTATAAGTCGTTAAAACATTTTCACACAAGTGTGGTATATTTTTTTTTTTTTTTTTTTTAAAGATTGTCACTTTGAAAGAATGATTGTTGACCAAATCATAATAAAGCTGGAATGTTAAGGGGTTTTTATTTATTTGTTGAATCTGTTGTAGTTTGGATTCATTTTCACTCTTCCTCCCTCCTTTTTCTCTTTCACAGAGCAGCAAAGAAGCCCTTTCAGAAGTCAACGCCACTGGAGTTGCCATGCTTTTCTCTGCTGGGACTTTCCTTTATGTTGCCACAGTGCACGTCCTCCCAGAGGTGGGAGGAATGGGGCATAGCCACAAACCTGAATCAACAGGTGGGAAAGGACTCAGCCGCCTGGAGGTGGCAGCCCTGGTCCTTGGCTGCCTTATTCCTTTAGTTTTGTCCATTGGGCACCAGCACTAAAGGTTCAAAGTCACTGTTCTTCTCCTTGATCTGGTGAGCAGTAAATGTCAGCTGCTCTTTTCATCGTTGTCTCTCTTACCCCATCATCCACCCCATCTGCGCTGTGGAGTTCAGAGGGAAGCTTGATTCCAATGTGAAGAATTCTGGAAAAGCTTTTAGTGTAGCAAAATGTACTTTGGCAGCCAGACATAAATTCTGTGTAATTTTCTTTTCTGAAGACATTTGATATTTTAATTTTGATTTCTGGCCCCTATTCTCAGGGAAGATGGACTTTGAATTTTAAGAAAGGTGAGTGGGGAAGAATTTAATGGCTCATCATGAAATTGCAATCACCAAAGTATTCTGCAACTCAGCGTTCACAGCTGAGAATAAAACAATGGATGGATGCCTTTTAATATGTGGAAATCTTCTTACCAGTAGAATAGGGGAACCTCCCCTACAGTTTTTTTTATGTTGTCCCGACATATGTGACTGATCCATGTAATATCAATGCCATAAACCTTGCTGTAAAGATGCAGTACTCAAAATTCTGGTTAATGTACTTGTTGCAAAAGACTAGAACTGTGGATTGGAAGAAACATTATTGGACAAAGATTAGAGGAAGTCTAGGATGTCAGAATTCAGCTAGTTAAGTAAGTGGAGATGACTTTTGCATTGCATTCCCTGGATTAACACAAAGGAAACAAGAAAGTCCTAGAAACAAGGAAATATTCTGTTTTTACTTGGTTTATGCAATGGCTTGTTACATTATTTAACAAAAAACAGAAACAAAGCACACATTGGAAGCAGATCTCCCATCATGTCCGTAAAGAGTAGCAACCAAAACTGTAGAGGCAGTTAGGAATCTGGCACCAGGGCTGCACTGCTACTATCCTTGAGAGACAAATACACAATGTCTTTTTTAAATCAAACTGTTCAGGGCTCTGACTGGAGATCTGATGGAAATGGATTTTGAGGGACCAGAGAACTATACTAGCTCATTTACAAAGGGCTGAAACTAGTGGTTAGTTTTTTTTCTTTCATTAAATAAAAAATATTAAGGTTAACAAAACAAGATCTCTGGTTAAATACTCATACTCTGTGCATATTGGCAGGTGCACGGTGTGTCTAAACTAGTTAACTGCTCTGCTAAATCTTCATACCAACAAGCAAGAAGCATTTTGTTTTTTTTGAGAACCTATTAAAATCATTCCTTTGGGAATTTTGCAATCCATCATCTCTTGATTATGGTTGATTGTAGTGATGCTTTTCTGGGACTCAGTGCCATTGCAGCTGGATGATAAAAGATTCTCTCCTTATCAAGACATGCCTTCTCTTGTCAGGCAGTGTTTTTGTTTAATTATGCAAGAAATGGTACATTTTAATAACTGTAGTGCATACAAATTCAGAACAGTTGACATGTACAGATTGAAAACACAACTCTTGTTTTACAAAAATTGCTTTTATGCTGCATCCATTTTAAGCCCTAGTCTGAATCTATCTGCACTTCTTGTATATAATATTGCCAAAATGTTGTTTTTGTTTAGTCATTTTCATTGTTTGAAACAAATCTTCAAAGCTTGAAATCACTGCCTTCTCAAGGAACTTATTGTCTCCTTGTGAAAGAGAGAGCCTCCTTCTTCCCTCGCCATCTGTTTCTTATGGTACACAGGCCATCATGGCTGTGACTTCTTTACTTCATTACATCCTCATTATCTTTTAGCTCAGCAGTGGGTATCAGCATGGCTCTTGGAACAGGATTTGTTAGTTTAATTAGTGATCACTCTGTTCAGTGGCTTTGTAGCAGCACAAAAACAGTAATCCACTGTCAGATTTTAACAGTGGTGACTGCTTTTTTGTTTTTTTACCGTTAGAAAGGTGGATTTGAAAATCAATGCAGAATTATTAGAAAGTAGAAGACGTTCCCACAAGACTAATTATTTTAAGGTAGATAAAATATTAGACCTAAACCATGGTACATGAAACTAGGCCTTTAAAAAGCTGTTGTGTTCTGAAAAGCAATAGCAAAAATAGCACCACCTAACTGACTAGATCTATTCCCTCTATGTATTTAGTCATGCCTAGTTTCTCAAGAGACAAATACAAATCTACTTTTATACCGTTAACTCTGAAAAACAAACACAGCTCAGCTAGAGAGCTGGATTCTGTTCCCTGTGTACCACCACAGTTATGGAACTGTTTGCAACTGACAAACCTGTGTAAATCCACTGAAGGCAGTGTTGGTGCACAAGTGTCACTGAGGGCACAATTGAGCTTGTAGAACCTTTTTGACAGGTGGTGGTGACAGGCAACATATAACGTACAAAGAATCCTGCTCTTAGACCTCTTGGTAAATTTGCAGGGCTGGCAGTTATGAAAAAACACCAATTCTATTTGTAAACTGAGCAAATCTGATCTGTAGTCATTGGCTGAAAATGGAACCTCCCTGGTGACACTTCTGCAGTTACATTTTTGGGGTAGAAGCACACTTTAAGTTTACTTCCATTTTTCCCCAGCACATGCTTATGGTTATCTTTCAACATCTGTGGTTCAGCTTCAGCCATCATTTCATGTCAAGTCACTGTAATGGTCAGAAACCTATACATCCACTTTTACCGTCCCATTTACCATCTTTTCCTGCCAGGCTGCAATATTCAGCCAGAACCTTTCTCTATGGACCATTGCTTATTGAGGAGGAGACATTTGACCAAATCTCTCTCCCCTGCTGACATAGATTCTGGCAGGTTTACCATAGTGATAATCATCTTCCTGTTGGCATTGCTAAGAGGGTTTTGTCAGACTTCTTGCCATGGGCACATCATAAGATCAAGTCTCCAACTTCTGGGGCAATTGCCAGTGATGATAATGCTTGGTTTAGTATTGTACAAACTAAGCTTGAGAGGCCAGAGCATTAAGCATTATTGGCCAAGATATAACAGTGCAAGAATCTGAAAAGGGTTCACAAAATTAAAATGTCTACAAACAAAATGGGGACAGAAGGCCCAGTAATGTGCAATTTTCACTTTGCAGTTTGACTAAGTGGCATAAGATTTATGTTTTTTCCTGTCCACTTAGAACTAGCTTTGTTTTTTTGGCTGCCTTAATGATGTATATCTGTTGAACTGTTGTTTAAACTTATATGGCTGAGACTGCCGCAGTTAACAAGGGAATTGGGGGTTATCAGAGAGATGCATAGCAGAATGTAAAGTTTTGTTGTGAATGTAGCAGAATGTAAAGTTTTCAGTGCTTGTTTATGTCCATTCCAATCAGGTGTATAATGGCCACGGGGGTTGTAATGAGCCACAGGCAATGCCGGTACCGCTGGCAGCAGCCACTGCCAGAGAAGCACCAGCACCGCTGTTGCCCCTTACAGCTCTAGCACCAACCCTCCTGTCAGTGGTACCGCCAATGGCTACAGCTTCAGTTCCACCGGCGTTGACGATATCGGCACCACCGGAACCAGCAACTTCAGCACCTGCCTCAGCACTGATATTTCCGCCTCCAGTGGGCCCGGCACCGCATGCTGTGGAATACCGCGTGTTGCGAGACCCACGGGGCGCTGAAGGGAGCGAGCAGGGTCTGCTGCCAGGCCTTTCCTCCTCATCCTCTCTGGATGAAGCGGTGGTAGGGACGTAGACGACCCCAGCTCTGGAAGATAACAGGGCACTCCAGCAGCTCTTAAGCCATGCTGCCCAGAACCTGGGCCTACAGGCGGAGGCGGTGGTGGAGGAATCAGACCTTGTTGTTGAAGCGGGGGTCTGCCACAGGGTTTTGGTCGTCTCTACAATCGTCTTTATTAAAGGCAAGGCAACACAAGATGGACCGGGGGGTGCAAGGATGTCGGGCTTGCTGGAGGCGGAAATATCGGTGCCGAGGCAGGTGCTGAAGTTGCTGGTTCCAGCGGTGCCAATATCGTTGACTCCAGTGGAATCGAAGCTGTAGTTGTCGGCGGTGCTGCTAACAGGAGGGTCGGTGCCGGAGCTGCAGGGAGCAACGGCAGTGCCGGCGCTTCTGTCAGCGGTGCCACTGCCGGCGGTGCCTTCAGCTCATTACAACCCCCGTGACCATTGTACACCTGATTGGAATAGATATGAACAACACATCTCGAAGAACAACAGTTACGAGAAGATGAGTAACCGTTTTTTGCCTCAAGTGACCAAATCTATCCTAATTGTAATTCCCCATAGCAGATTATTTTCTTTCAACATAAGATTTCAGTTAAATACGAGTTGGGGTGAAAACATCTCTGATCATACCTCTATCCTCCCTCTTTATCTGCCACAATAAAATCAATTATCACATGTAGTCAGGGCCATCTCTTGTCAGTTTCCATTCCTCAGAAAACTTAATTGCAAATAAATTCTTCATTACTCTTCCATTTTTGACTGTAATGTCCATTCTTATATAGGCTTTCAGTTGTAATGGGGGTGGAAAATAGGTATACCCAGACAACACTGTAACTGATTGGCTTGCATTTTTCCCTTCTTTTTCCAAATCCTACCCCAAACCAGAACTCTCCACATCAGCCAATTTATCAGTTCTGATGGTTGAGTTGATACTAAGAATCAATTAAGGTTACATCTGTGTTAGTCCCAATGAGTTCAGCTATTTCATTGACTGTTCTGATTTCATTCTTGTTCCTCATAATAAAGGCAAAATATTTTTTCTGTACCTGATGACAACTGAGATACACGAGCCTCATTTATATTTACAGATGTGAGAATGGCAGGGCAGGATAAAGATGTTTTGATGGCTATTCCGTGTATTGTAAATTGGCCATGTATTAAGCACGAGAACCTAGTGTCTACATCTGAGCTTCAAAGAGCGCTCCTGCGTGGAATATCTTAAAACCTTAACATTATCCAAGAGACCCAGGAGAACAACAATATTTGTTCAGGAACTACTGTAGAGGCTGGTGATTGTCTTATAGGATTTCTTGGCAGTGGCTGACTTGTGCCCTTATTGTCAACTATACTCAGAATAACATGGAAAGGCTACAGAATAACTGTTGCTGTCTTCTGCGTTGTCTCCTTGATCATCCTCAGGAAATCTGGGAGGAGAAGTTTGGTTTCTTTTGTCTGTGGACTTGTGGGGAACCCGTCCCATGAATTTCAGATTTGAACTTTTTAAAATATCAGCTTTTCTCATTTTCCTTTGGTTACATCTTCCAGCAGCTCAGGCTTTCCAGGGATTAAAATTGCCTGGTTACTGCAGTTGAAGTGACTCAGCATACTGAGCTGTAATTTTAATGTCTTTTCAAAACCATTTGTACACATGAAATCATTCCATGAATGGCTGCCTTATAATTTTGTTTTTTTCCACTTTAATTGTGAATGGTTAAAAAAAATAATGTTGTTGGTTTTTGATTTGTTTTATTATATTAAATTTTTATTAGATGCAGTGCTTAAGAGTTGGCTTCTCATTTATCATATGAGGTTTTCTTAGAGACCATGTGAAGAGCAGTGGCACTTCAAGATAGTGCTGCTGAAGACTAGTGCATTTTATTTTTATGTACAGTAGAACCTCAGAGTTACGAAGTGATCAGTCAACCACACACCTCATTTGGAACTGGAAGTACACATTTAGGCAGCAGCAGAGACAAAAACAAAAACAAAAAAAGGGGGCAAATAAATTACAGTGCTGTGATAAACGTAAACTACTTAAAAAAAAAGGAAAGTTTTTAAAAAAAGTTTTGACAAGGTAAGAAAACTGTTTCATTTAAATTAAGATGGTTAAAAGCAGCATTTTTCTTCTGCATAGTAAAGTTTCAAAGCTGTATTGAGTCAATGTTCAGTTGTAAACTTTTAGAACCATAACATTCTGTTCAGAGTTACAAACAATTCAGAGTTACAAACAACCTCCATTCCCAATGTGTTCATAATTATGAGGTTCTATTGTATAGGCATTTCTGTGGGGCTCATAGCCACAGAAATTAAAGCTACAAGAGAAAGCTGGTGAGAGGCAGACTGTCTGAGTTCTGTTACTGGGCAGCCCCAGAAAGCGTCTTCGCCCAAGATTCCCACTAGCCAGAAAGAAGTTGGGATTACAGTGAGGGGAATGAGAGTGGGTGTCAGGAGCAGTATTACCAACCACAAGTATTCAATAGTCATGAATTAGACACCTCTGAAATCATGATTGGCTTAAAACTGACTTAAATATTAATGATCACATTGGCTTTTTCCTGTTTCTGATTTTTTTTGAGCCTCAAGAGAGAAATAGCAAGCCCCCAATTTGCATGTGAGCATTACAGATTTAAAAACTCAACAATAAATGCACAAACAAAATGTAAGCCTCTCTGCTGGCTTTTGGAGGGGATTCTACTTAGCCTCTCCTCACCTTTGGGCTATGGAGAAGCTGCCATTCTAATCTTCTCCATCTCTCTGTGTACACCACATTCCCCTGCAGCCTAGTTTTCCGACTATCCTCCACATGCTCTTTCCCCCAGCACACATGCCTTCACAGCACCTCCGTATCCCTCTCCGGCTCCTGGCATCATTCCCACTAGCAACAATGGAAGGCAGTGGCCATCTCTGCTAAGGGCAGCCTAAACTTCCTCTTTTCAATACTGTAGGGAAACAGGAGCCCTCTTAAGTGAGGGCAGATTGTGACCATTTTGAAAAAGACTCCTTCCTGGGGTTTCTCTTGACTATATTTGCTGATGCACATATTTTCAGTTATAAAGGCGAACAGAAACTAACCTATGGACCTACAGCCAAGAGGTTGTCAGAAGTTTGAAATGGTGTCAGAGAAGTTTTGGCATATAGTTTTTGAGCAAAAAGGTACAAAAATGATGATTTACCAGGACATACTTCTTACAGATTTGCAGATTTAATGGGAGACCCTCAGAAAATTCAGTCCTTTCTCAGATTGTATGCTATGAACTTGGGGGAGGAGACACTATATTCGTCATACAAAACAGGTTGAATCCTTGCTTTAAGTGAAAAACTTAGTGCAACCTTAACTGTGGAGTCACAACCAACACCTCCAGGCTAACAGCTTGTTTTTATCAAACTTCAGTTTGGGGCCAGATTTGACCCGAGTGACCCTTTGAAAAGGTAACAAAATTAAAATGAAATGTTTGTATGCTGTGTACAACTAATCTGTATAATGTTAATATTTGTTTTACAGTACCCTGAGTGGGTTAGCCTCTCTAGAAGACATTTTCCCTGCCCCGAAGACTTTACAATCTGCAGCCTGCAATTTGCAATGCAGGATCCATACATGAGGACCCTTACATCTGTGCAACATCCCATAGAAGTCTAAGGGACTTTGTGCATAAGGTCTGAAGGTCCACATGCCAGGATCCAAATAAAGACATGACTTTCTATTACAGGATGTTACTGAGGCAACATTTCAGTGTTTCTCCAGAGTTGTACATGGATATATATCTAAATTTTTATATTGCATTTGTCACCAGCCAGAGAGAACCTTCAGTCCTTATGACTCTTCCCAACCGGTAGGGTGATATATTATTCCTGCTGCCAACAATGCACACTCCCCGCTTCACAATCTTTGTTCTGCTGCTATTCTCCTCCTCTTGCTCAAGCTGAGACTTGATGTGTTTTGCACAGTAGCTGCTCCTGTGGCCATAGCCAAGAATCTGTCAGTGTTTCTTTTCGAAAAGTGAAACCTATCCCTGAAGAGATTTTATAATGTTTGTTCTGAATATTATTTGTGTATTGGTTTTTAGTACATCACCCATTGCGGCAGCTCTGTAACAGTTAAAACCCACAAGCATAAGTCTCCATCTTAACTGTCTGCTGTTGTGCTTAAAAGTCCCATGTAAACAAATACGCTTTGCATTGTTCCTTAAAGCTCACCATACTTGGCTCTGAGAGGTGGAGAGAGAATGGAGTGTGTTCCACCAGCAAGGGGTCCTCAACCAAAAATATGCCACTGCTGGCCTTAGACAATAAAACTCCAGAAATCATCATCATGAGGAACAACCCAGTAGATCTTAACTGCTGTAATGCAACCAAGTTAGGTGGCCTCTTAGGTAGTTGACTCCTAGACTATTCAGGACTAAAAGAGCCTAGTCAGTACCTTGAATTGCACCTAGAAACATCCAAGTCCATGTCTAAGGCCTGGTCTACACTACGAGTTTAGGTCGACTTTAGCCGCGTTAAATCGACTTAAGCCTGGACACGTTTACACTACGAAGCCCTTTCTGTCGACTTAAAGGGCCCTTTAAACCGGTTTCCTAACACCACCTCGACAAGGGGATTAGCGATAAAATCGGCCTTAGGGGGTCGGAATTGGGTTAGTGTGGACGGAATTCGACATTACTGGCCTCCGGGAGCTATCCCACAGTGCTTCATTGTGACCGCTCTGGACAGCACTCTCATCTCAGATGCACTGGCCAGGTAGACAGG